TAAACCTTTAGATGACAACTCTTTTCAGACAAGGTGTGGAGTTTGTCTGCAAAGGATAGAGAGAGAGACAGACAGAGCCCAAGTCCCAGTGCAGAAGGAAGCCCAGGTGGGGCTGGGGGTGGGGAGAGGGGCAGCACACAGAGCTGTTGAACAGGATTAAAAGGTAAAGCAGCCACAGAGCAGTGTCAGGTTCTCAAAGCTGGCGGCCAGGCAGCCACTTTCCTTTTATGTCCCAACCCCCTCCTGCCTCCAGGTTTATGACAACACTTTTCAGGCCTGTGCTCCAGGCTTGATTTCTCAGAGGGAGTTCTGCCAAGTTGAAGAGCAGTCTCCTGTGCTGTTCTCTGGAATTCTCTGGTCCTCCCTCCCAGACAGCAGAGGATCATTCTTGGGTGGTGAAACGGACATGGATTTTATCTACTTCACACTTCCTTGCCATAAAATGTCCTTCCTTACTCCTCGGGGGATTGAAGTCCAGATTATTCAGAAATGTAACTGTGATATGGGATTTTGGAATACACATGTTACTCATTCCTTTGAAAAAAGTCACCCTGACATCTGAACACTGGTCAACAGGAGGAGCTGGCCCCAACAGTTCTCGGACTATAAGGTGCTGATTGTAGGTGGTGACCAACTCAGGCACAGGCCCACAGCAGGGACATTTCCAAAGAGAACTGTTTCAGAGGTAGACCATAGCCAGCAGGCAGAGCGTGCTGCTGAGAAGACTCAGTAAACGCTGGCAAGTGCCTTTGGAGTCCAACTCTGTTCCTGAGCAACAGGCTTCTAGAAACCACAAGTTGAACTGATGCCATAGTACCTGTGCTACTCTCGCAACTCCTTAGACTAGGAGGTGCCGTGAAAATGTTGGCATTCATGTCCCAAACTAAGATGGACACTGAGCACCTAAGTGGGCTTTCCTGTTTAACTATAGCACCCAAGAATACAAAAGGCAAAAGCCAGTGGTTCTCAACTGAGGGCAGTTTTGCCCCTCCAGGGACATGTGGCAATGTCCAGAGATACTTGATTGTCACAACTGGGAGGTGGGTGCTGATTTTGGCCTCTTGCATCTAGAGGCCACCAACAAGATGCTGCTAAATATTCTACAGTGCACAGGATGGACTCCCACAGCAAGGAATTATTGGGCCCAAAATGTCAGTAGTGTACAGCTCTCTGGTGGTGCCTATGGCTCAAGGGATAGGGCAGTGGCCCCATATACCGGAGGTGGTGGGTTCAAACCCAGCCCCAGCTAAAAACTGCAACAACAACAACAACAACAACAAGAAAAACTAGTGAGCAGCTCTGGGACGGCATTCTACGAAGCTGTAAGCAGCAGCTAAGGTGTCTGGTGAAACCTCAAGGAATCACACTTGTCTGGAAAACACAACATCATACAACATGTAAAATGGCAGATGTGACTTCTTTGCCCCTTACTACCCCCTAATCTGCTATAATCTGATCCCAAGAGCTGAAAAGCAAAACCCACTGCCCTTCCTCCCTTGCACATGCAAGTGTGTTTGCAGGCATCATAATGCTGAGGTTCTGTGAAGTATTTCACAGTTTGGGCCAGCTCCAGTTTCAAAGCCCCAAACACTAAGTTTCTTCTTTTGCCTTCAACAAAGGAATTTTTCTCTATAACTCTGACTTCCCTGCCCACGAGCAAAGGTGAGCGCCAAGCCCAAAGGGCTCACAGGTTAAATGACTAATATTTAATGAGGTCGTATTAACAACAATTATGCTAACCATGACACCTGAGCTTTTGACGTTATTCCTCTAACCTTGGGATGAACAGCTCGCAGTTAGAAATTTGGGGTTTAGAGTTGGCCCTCTGTATCCAGAGTTCTGTATCCATGGATTTAGAAACCACGGATTGAAAATACTTGGGAAGAAAGCTGGTTGTTATCTGTACTGAACATGTGCAGACTTGCCCCTTGTCATCATTCCTTAATATAGTATAACAACTATTTACATAGCATTTTACACTGCATTAGGTATAATAAGTAATCGAGAGATGATTTAGAGTATACAGGAGGAAGTCCTCATGTGATAAACAAATATTATACCATTATATAGAGGGGACTTGAGCATCATTGCATTTTGGTATTTGTGGGAGATCCTGGAACCAGTCCCCCATGGGTACCCCCATGGGTACCAAGGGACCACAGTATTTACTTCTCATTCCACGTGTACCCCTGTGTGCTGTTTAAGAGGTCTGTGAAAACTCATCATCACCAGATGGACCAGTCCCATCAGTTCAGAATTCAGTTGGAATCCTGGAAGGTATCTACTTTGGCTTTATAGTATTAACCCTTTAGATACTAGCCTTCCTACCAAATGTGAGCAACCCCCAAATGCCCAAGGAATCAACTTTTCCAAGCCACTTCTGCCTCCACATCCATAAACTCTGCCTCTGAATGTCACAAAAAAAAATCAGTGCATGGGCGTGGGACTTAGCATAGAGATAGGTAGCTTTGTCTATAAACTATGTTTTATTCAATTTAATAATGTTCTGTCAACTCCTTCACCCATCTCCTCTAGTCTCCTGAACCTTCCATTTCAGCTCGGCTGCAAAGAATGTGTTTTCAAGCAGCTTACTTGAGAGTCGACTGGAAAGTTCTGCAGAGAGGGTTGTCATGCCACTGGCACGCCCAGGTGAGATGGGCGTTGCTGGGTGCACAGAAGGAGAGGCGATCGATCCCAGGTACTGGTAGGACTGATCGTAGGACCATGGTGGGGACGGCTGGATCTGCCTTGTATCTGTAGAGAATCAGGGAGGTCAATTTTATGTACAATGTGTTGGGATTTAAGAAATAAAAAGTCTTTCAATAAGAAATTAGTAACCTTTGTTAAAATGTTACACATGTATGTACATGTGTGACCAGTGTTGGATAAGCCTGTGCAAGTCCAGGTGTCTTTCTTTGTTGAATGGTTTCTCCCCCAAAGATGAGGAAATATTGTTTATTTTCCCTTCTTGGAGATTTTCATCTGATAACTAACTCTTCCTTCCAAACAGTTTACTTAGTTGCCCTAAGAATAATGAGAAGAGTGGATGATGCTTTCATGACAGAAGCGTTAAGTGCTCAGATTGCTAGGCTGTTGGACTTGATGAGTCAAGTGTAATATAACTACTCAGACTGTTTCAGCTTTACTAATAGTTACAGTTATCATCACCAAAAACATTTTATAAACTCAAGGGAGTGATCGCCTGCCTACCTGTGCTCAGTAAGCAGAAAGGATATAGAGTTTGGGGATTTTTTTTTGTACCTTTGGCAAAAACAGTCCTTCGGTGTGTTCGTATTTTCTATTTAGGTGAATTCTCCCCTAAAGATGATAGGAAAGAAGGGCTGGCTGAGAAACTGGCGATGAGACCTAAAACTCATTCACAGACCAAGTCGTAGGCCTGGCTTTATCCACGCGGTCCTCTTGCTCCTTTTCAAAACTTTAAGTTTGCGACTTTTAAAGGTCATATTTTTGAGCAAGTATGTTACAGATTGCTGTTGTAAGAGGCATTGGCTAGAGGAGATAAAAGCCTGACTTCAAAATTTTTAGACAAAATGGATTTTGTACATTTGACTCCAGAGTTCACAGGAGGCTTAGTGTTCAAAAGCATCATACTGTTTGCAGATGGAAATGAGGGTGGGGGCACCCCACCTCTATTCTTTCGAAAAATGTATAAGGCAATGTAAATGAGACACTTTCTCAGTAAACAAGAGTTTTATGTTTCTTTAGAGGTACACATTAATTTTTTCTTTGTGTTTCAGCTTCTCTGTGGACAAAGATAACAGCACAGCACCATGACTACTAAGGGTCTCCACAGCCAGAGCGTCACGATCATGGGAGTAACAGTGTAGGAAGAGCAGGCGTCTTGAGAAAATACCCAGTGTAAGGGGGCCACGACATAAAGAAATGAACATCCTACTCACTGTAAAATATTCAGAGCTGGCCCCTTTGGGGTTTTTATTTCCAGCAGTTAAAGTTTGCCTTTCTGTTTACCTCTTTGAAGTTGCCACAGTGGACAACAGCATCAGACATCTAGAGACCCGTGTCTTCCTCACCAGTCTTGACCTAACAGCCTCTCCAGCTCATATGGATGCATTTCTTTTAATTTTTTTTCTCCTTGAAAATAGCTAGATTTTTAAGTTTGAAAAATCTGACAGTTTCTGGGCAAATATTTTAACTTGGATTGTTGAAATCTAATATTTTAAAAAGTCTTCATTTTCATGCCAAATTTTAGAGGATTTCAAGAGATGGCAATGAATAAGGGAGCTGGTCCATTTTGAACTCAGCAGAAAATAAACGTTCAACTACAGCTGAAGATTCCGTGTCTTCTGACGGCTGACAATGTTTTCAGTAACGGAAAGGGGGCAGAAATAGCAGACTGCTCAGAATTCCCTTGCTACTTCAAGCATTTTGCTCTAAGTGAAAGAAAAATCACATACTTAGTTTCTATAAGTCATGTGTATATCCTAGATACACATGTTTACTAAGTGAATGTATAGTACTTGAATATTTTAATCATTTAAAAAGCAAACAAAAGAGGTTTTATAATTGTCATTATGCCCTTCGGGGTGTGAACTGCGGTGTAATAATTCATGCCTTGTTGTGTAGACAGCCTAGCACCCCTAACCCCGTGTCTAAAACCACACTAAGCATAAAGTGTTATGCCGTGATTCATGCTCTGTCATGTTTTACTGTAGGGAAAAAGTGGTGCTAGGCTTTTCTAAACTCATAATTAAACCATGCAAACGTTGCATAATATTTCACAGCCTTTTAAAAATACGCTTTAGTAAAATGATCTTTATGATTAAAGTCCAAGTTCTATGAGTTTTTTCTTTTTAAACACAGGGCTGTAGAGGTGAATACCTCTTCTTCACGCCATAACTCAGTTTTCCAGGTGCTGGAACAAGGTAGGGGTGGGGGTTGGGGAGGCCCTCCCAACTCCAGAAGCCCACCCCTCCTCTCAGCCGTTTTCATTCATGCCATCACAGTGACCTGTGCTTGGGTTCATTGCCAGCGGTGGGCCAGGAGGTGGTGATGGTGAGCCTTGCATGGGGGTTTTTGGATGTTTTCTCCTTCTACTTGCATTATTAATAAAAAAAAAAAATCAAAAAAAAGCCAGATAATGATGCATTGTGGGTTTAATATTCAGTTACCATCTTTGCTCTGATGGGGCCAGTATGAACTTGCAAAGGCAAGTATAAAGTGGCCGTGCTGTGGGCTGTCCTGTGGACTGATAGGCAGGAGAGGTGGGCCCTGAGCCTGTCTGTGTGGGATGCCAGTAGGTGACCCTTTCTTATTCTCATCTCTGAAAGGGGATGGTCTCTAAATCTGTCCCAGTGGTGACAGGACAGGATTCTAATTCAAACAGGTCCTACCCAGTATTTCTTTGTTTACTCAGTATGTACTGGCACATTAAGCAGAGTCAGGAAATAGTCAGGTGTGGAGTAGTGGGTGAAGAATGGTGCTTGTAACAATGAATTCATGTATAATGGGAAGAGGAAGTAAGGAGGGATAAGGGGAGTCATCCAGAAACAGCCACAGGCTAAGGAAGGGAACCACCGTCAGTCATTGTCTAGGGCATACAGCCATTTGTTCTTGAAAGAACTGAAAAGTCAATGCATCTAGAAACAAACATTTATAGTATGTTCACTATGTAAATGTACTATAATAAATGCCAGGCATATACTTTGTCCCTGGTAACAGTATGGTCCCTGCCCACTGGGACTTAGGCTCTGTGAAGATCCCAGAACCCTATGAAGCCTAGAAAGGGTGCTTCCTGTTGCTTAAATCATCATACTGAGTGTTGGTTCATTCATTCATTCATTCATTCATTCATTAGATGCATGAAGTTATTTGCTTGTTCATTTATTTACTTTTCCAATCAACATTTTTGCTGTATCAGGGCCACCTAATAAATAAGTGACTACACGTAGTGAGTGGAAGGTTTCAGCCTTCTGGCAGTTACAGCTATTGGGGGACTAGGGCTAGATCCAGGCTAACTGATAGATTAGCTGCCTAATTTGGACTTGCAAACAGCTGTCCCCAAGGTAGAAACGAGAGCCCTGGCGGTATTTATTACATGCTTATGTCCTGCCTCTGAGAGGATCAGACTAGGGAAAGCACCAGACTAAGTCATGGACAGATTTCAGTTTGCATCTTGCTGTCACTATAAGCTAAGTGTATGACCCAATCAAGTCACTTTATTTTCTCTGATCTTCAGAGAAAATAGTTCCTGACTTCAAAGGGTAATAGTGAGGAATAAGTGATACAAGCTACATGTAAAGCAAGTATCACAATTTCTGGGCATAGTAAATGCTGAATAAGTCTGAGTAATCTTTATGATTATGTTACTAGAAACCCATGTCAAGGGACTTGCTTGATTTTTATTGGTAAGAGCACACCTGCTCCAGCATGAGGCTTGTGTAATACGGTGTCTTAGCTGGAGACTTGACAGCCATGCTGGTCAGACTAGAGAGGAGATGGGCTCAGGTGATTAAATGGTAAAGAGCAAGGAAAGTGGAAATTTGGGATGAAGATGGAGAAGGCAAGAATTCAATATCTTAGCCAATTCATGTTTCCATTAAAAGACATACTGGATTACAATATTTAAATTTGAGCCTTTCTTCCTCATTTTTGATTTCTGGATAAATGATGTTTTGATGCCACCACTTTACTGTGGCCATTTTGTAATCATCAATGTTTTGATCATCAAATAATGGGTGAAACAGAGCCCCCTTTTCATGTTCCCTTCCATTTGAAATAGGAAGTTAGGGATAAGACAAGGTTAGGGGTGAGCTCAGAGGTGTGCATGGCATATATCATTTGATAAGAAGGTAGAATGCTTTTATCTTTTGATGCAGCAATGTTAAAACATCTCCAGAGTCAACAATGACCCCATTAAATAATTCATGCCAAAATGTCCTGCTGCTTCCAGTTTCAACTCCAACATCTAAAGAGGTTGAGAGTCATCACTCTGCTCTTTACGATAACAAAAATGCTGAACAAACTGAAATAATCCATGACTTTTCTTGGGTCCACAAGAGAATTAAAGTCACAGGGCAAAATGTCACCCCCAAATCTTGAGAGGCAGGCAAATGGAATCAGAGTGATGTCTATTTACTAGAAGCAGAAGCTGCTAAATCTGTAAACTTATGGGAATACTTAACAGTGTTTTGACAAATTGCTGGAGGCTAAACGTAGACTAGTCTGAGAGTAAGAAAGTCCTCGGAGCTACCATCTTGGGAGAGGGAACTTCTGTGGGCTTTTCATTCAGGAAGTCCACCAGATCTCATGGGATCAAATACCGGAACAGCAGATTACAGCTGAAAGAGCCTCAAGACATAGACTACTTAAGGAGGAGTGTGTAGAGAAGCCCAAACAAAAACAAGGGTACTAGAAGAATTTGAAGTCTCTGACATCTATAGAAAACATTAAACACACCCCAACTCCTAGCTAGATGGACATCATAACTCACACCAAAGCCTTGTTTGCTTTGTTTCTATGATCTGATACGCCATATCCAGCTTTCAACAAAAAATTACAAGAGAAATGCAAGCAAAAACACAGTCTAAAGAGACAAAGCAAGCATCAGAACCAGATTCAGATGTGGCACAAATTTTAGAATTACCAGACAAAGAATTTATGATTAATATGTTAAGGGCTCTACAGGGAAAATAAGACAACACATAAGGACAGATGGGTAATGTTAAGTAGGGAGAAGGAAACTGAGACTTGAAAGGAAATTTTAAAAATGAAAA